CAACCATTGGATTTCTTGTAAGAAGAAATGGCAAACCCTTAATATTTAAACCACCCTAGGGTGGGTTTTCCATTCTTGCACTCAGAAGTATCCACCTGACACCACGTCCTCGCATAAGCACACGCCTCTCCTCAGCCACCCAGAGCCCTTGGGCATTGGCTTGGACGTCTGTGAGACTGTAAAAGACAATAGCTTTGAAACATGAACTGATGCTTTTGCTACCACTCCTCACCCCAAAACTATTTTCTGTTACCCAATCTTTCCCCTATTTTGGCAACAGCTTGACTGGGTGGTATCCACTGCTCTTGAGGAGGATCATTTTCAGTAAAAGATATAGAAAAGCTTTTGAGTTCCAAAGCTTAGGACTTGAGTGGACTGAGGATTAGAGGAAACAAAAACACTCGATGAGTCAGAGAAAAGCTTATTGCCCCAAAGCTAGCACAGGTTCCTGGGCTCTGGAGGGAAAGGAATCGAGTGGGCTGTGGAAAGAGAAGTTGGTGGGGTCTCGGAGGAGCAGAACAGCACAGGAAGCCACCAGCCCCCACTAGTGTTCCCCCAGCAAGTCTCATCCTCCATAAGGCCCAGGAGCCATCACTGTAGGAGCCACGTTGGTGCCCACAAACTGTGTATATAGCCCCTGTTGCTGAGCTGGACATCACTGAGGGGCTATGAGGACAGATATGCAGGCCCCCAAGGACCCCCACCAGGTCCTCTCCTGGTGTAACCCATGCCACTTTCCGATAGTTCAACAGGGCTATCCACCTTATTTGAAGGGTTATTCCTCACTGTGAACATCTCCACAGCACCCACCCAGGCCTACCCCAAACAAAGGAGTGGTCCTGGACACCCAGAGGAAGGATGGTGGCTTAGAACGCAAAGCCCGCACATGGATACTGAAGAGATAGTGAACAGAGCTTTAACAGGAGAACACACCCCTCCTTCACCTCCCCTACTAGCCCAGGTCAGAGTAGGGGCTGTTTCTGACTCATCTCTGTGACTCCAGTGCCCAACCCAGGGCCTGGCAAACAGTAAATGCACAATAAATATTTATTGGCCTAAATGGAATATGACACTGCAGAGATGGGGCCCACACAGTCAGCTGGCTGAGCTAGTCACCATCCCCAGTCTTCCTCTGCCCACTCACCTTCCAGTGATGACTCAGGAGTGGCCATTTGACCCATTCTGGTCAATAGGATGAAAAAGAAGTCATGGGGCAGGGCTTCTAATAAAGCTTTTGTGACGATGAATAGACTCCCTAGCTTTTTGCCCTTTCCCTTTAGTCCTGTCCAGAGGGTACCGTCTATGAAAAGGTGACAGCCATGAGGACAAAGGCCTCCATGCAAAAGGTGGCAGAGAGGGAAGATGACCAGAGTCTGGGATCCTTAATGGCATAACTGAGCCCCAGACCATACTGACCAGTTTCAGCTTCCTTTATTAAACCAGTAAATCTCTCTTAGTCACTGCTATGCAGGTGTTATTTGCAGCTGAATACACATATTCACCATACATCTTTGGACTAAGACAGATTTGGGTTTAGATCTTGGCCGCTGACAGCTGAAATCGAGGTCTCCTCCACTCCCTCAAAACTGCTCTTGCCAACGTCATTGTATTAAGGGAAATGACAAAGCTATTACAATAGACAAATTCTGAAATCACGGTGGCTTAGCACAATGAAAGTTTCTCTTTTTCATGTTGTTAACCTACAAATAAAAGGCCAAAGGGAGAAGCAACAAGCATTTGAGATCCAAAAGAATAGCTATGCAAGAAGCTGTCACTACATGAAACATCTACAAGAATTTTTTTGAGTGTATTTGATTCAAACTGGTAATATATGCCAGGGAGCAAGATCTCAAATGATTCCCAGAATGGCAATTTGCAGGATTTTTTATGCATTTAAGATTAAGGAGGGAACTAAGGCAGATTACATCTAGGTGGGAGAAAGCAAGATGAGTGAGGACTGAATTATAGGTTAGTTAAGATTATGTGCCCTCTTGAGGGTGGTCACACTTTAGAAGGAGGAGTCTGAAAGGGGGCATTTCAAAGGTATGTTAACCGACCAACATGAACAGGACTTGCTTAAGGCAAAGGTAAGCCTTTTACTGAAAAAAATTATATGCCGGGTGTGACTACCTACCATGACCTACCCAGTTAGGAATTTATGCTCAGATCACTCTGTGAGGTTATTTTCCATAGAAACGCCCCCTTTTTTATGTCCACAAAGCTATTATACACTGATTTAGACAGACACTCAGTGTTCCAAATAGGAAGTGAAGGCAAGGTATATTTATGAGAAAGTAAAAGGGAATAATTATACGAACAGAAGGAAGGAACTTCTATAGGTGCAGATAAGCTAACATAATGATGCTAATTCTAAAGAATGTCTTTAATTATCAGCCCAGTAGTTATAATGTCTGCTTTGCTGTTAGCTTCGCAAACAGTTGTTTGGAATGCAATGTTGCTTTAGGCCCAGTACAAAGATTATTTTGCCTAGTTTTAACATTCCAAAAGTTTGAGAACTAAGACATGCAAGGCAATTCTTCTGGGATGGCAGGTCCAACTTCAAAAAGTAGCTCCATTTATATTAGTTTTCACAATGTTACAGTCCAATGCAGATTGGTGGGTAGGGCACGGCTCCACACAATCATTTAGGGTCCCAGACTCCTTCATCTTATAGCCCCACTGTCCTCTGGGTGCCTGGACCCCAGTTCCACAGAGGTCATACAGGAGGTGTTTATGGTCCAGGTCTGGAAATGGAACACTTCACCCCTTCTAAAAAAACAACATTCGACCAAGTAAATTTGAAGATCTAATTGGTTTTTTAAAGTGCTTCATGAATTGGGCAGCATTCTATCTAGCAACTAAAGGAGCACTTTGAGGAGTTGTACAAAAGGGAAAATTTTTGTAGGCGGAAAGAGGATGGAACTAAGAAGTTAAAAGAGTGGATTATTTCAGGCAGGACACCTTTCCTTAGGGGAAGGCAGGGGGTTTTATCAGGCAGATTACTAGTGTCTATCAGGAAATTTCAGACTGATTGGTTTCAAATTCTACTCTTGAAAGAGGCTGAACCTGCAGTTAGGTTAGTTGTTAAGTTTTGGGTTGGTGACGTGAGTTAGCAAAAGTGACTCCATTTTGGCCTGTTGTTTCTTTTTTCAACACCCTCGTACACATTCTATAGGCGAGAATTCAGCCACATGGCCACATCTACATGCAAAGGAGGCAGGAATACACAGTCTAACTTGGGAAGAAGAGGCAAACTTGGCAACTGGTGTATAGTAGCAGGGTCTATCTAGGCCACCAAAGACCTCCACATCTCTATATCCAATGCTTACTTCTTAAGCTTCATTTTATACCACCTCTCAGCAATATTGGGCAATGTTGGCCATCCTCCATCTTTTAGAAATTTTCTGTTCTTGGCATCCTTACTAACTTTTTCTGGGTTTTCTCCAACACTCTTAGACACTCCTCTTTCACCCTGAGCCCTCTCATCTTCTCTCCCTGCACAATCTCACCTTTACAAGCTGCCTCAATCACCACCAGCTATACTCATGACCCTGAATCTGTCTGCAGCCAGACCTCTCCTGAGCTCAAGACTCTGCATCAAACAGCCTCCTGGACATCTTCATGTAGATACCTCAAACTCAACACCCCCAAACTGTTAATATCCTCTTAGCCCCAAACCTGCTCTGCCTCCTGGGTTCCCCTGCTGTGAATGGCACCACCATCAACCCAGTGGCTCAAGCAGAAATCTGGCACCACTCCTAACATCTTGCTTCCCCATGCCACACTACTTCAGACATCACAGCCCTGTCACTTCTACCTCTTAAACATCTTTGAACTTCATCGACTCTTCTCCATGGCCATGACCTCAACCTAAGTTCATGCTGTGAAAATAATATAGTTATGCACCACTTAATGACAGGGATATGCTCTGAGAAATGTGTCCTTAGCCAATTTTGTCTTGTGTGAACATCATAGAATGTATTATACAAACCTAGATGATATAGCTTACTACGCACCTAGTCTATATGGTATACCACAATAGTATATGGGGTCCACTGTTGATGAAAATGTCATTATGTGGCACATGGCTATAAATAGGGCCACTTCAAAATGGAGTTGAAGCTGCCATCCCAGAGGAACTGCTTTGCACATCTTATGCCTCAAACCTTTGGAATGTTAAAACTGGGCAAAATAACCTTTGTACTGGATCTAAAGCAGCATTGCAAACCAAAAAACTGTTTGCAAAGCTAACAAGAAAGCAGACATTATGACTACCAGAATGAAAATTGAAGCTGTTCTTTAGAATTAGCATCACTACATTAGCTTCCTTGTACCTATAGAAATTCCTCCCCTCTGTTCAAGTAATTATTCCCCTTTACTTTCTCATAAATACCCTGTGTCTTCACCTCCTAATCAGAACACTATTTGAGTTTCTGCCAGACTTTTATACACTTTGATACTATTATGAAAACAGCTCCAAAGAGCCCAGGAAGAGGAGGGCCAAGGATTTTGCGGCTCAGTGGCTGGTGGTGGAGGGGCAGACTGCCAGCGCTTTCCTTTGATTGGGTATCTTTTTTTTTAAGAGAAAGCCAGTCATCAAGGGTGGTGGAGGCGGTGTCATCGCCGTACAGGCCCCGCCCCGAGTTCCAGCGCCCACCCACCCCCCGCGGCTCACGTTGGCGGTGAGTCCCTAGCCTCCTCCCCACCACAATAGAGATCGTTCCTATCTGGAAGCCCGATCACCGATCACCGCAGCTGGGGGTGAGGAAGTCGGGACTGGCCCGCCCCCCGCAGGAACATCCCTTCCCCACGGCTGAACTCCAGGTGTCCAGTCTCTCCCTTTTTGTGCTAAGTGTCTCCGCTGGTGAAATGGGATTGCACTGGTGGCCTAGAGAGGCCGCATCCTGACAACCTAAGCTGGGCATGGCAGGTGGCGGGGAAGGGGGTGGAATGGAGATTAAAATGAGTTTCGGGACAAGGAAGCCTGTTACCGCAGGATGATGGCTCAGGAGGAGGGCCGGAGCCTGTCCGAGGTGCGGGTGAGGGTCGGAGCCTCACATGGCATCACCGACCTGGCCCACTTCTATGACTGCTGGGCTCCGGACTATGACAAGGTAAACCAGCTGGAGTCCTCACCTCTGCCTTCCTTGCTTGTCCAGCCTCAATTTTCCTATCTATACCATGGAAATAGATAGCCTTGTATCCTAGGGCAGCTTCTGAGAATGAAGTGAAGCCTGGGCACAACCTGCAGTTCTGACTCCTCTTAGACGAGCTCCTCTTCTGCCTACCCACAGCAGCCTTGCCCTCTGACCAGCCTCATCTCTCCACAGTGGAAGTCCCTAGAGATCAGGCGCCAAGACCTCTCCACTGTGGGACTGCAGTCCACACAGAAGGGCTGCCTGGAGGAGGTGCCATTGAGGGGTTACTGTAGACTAAGCAGAGAGCCCTGCCTTGGCCAGCAGAGCATATCCTAGCAGCTGGCTGGTGGCTGATTCTCCAGTCCTTGGCCCCTTGGCAGAGGACAGCACCTCACGTCCGGGTCTCCTTTCGCTGCAGTCTCGGCAGGTCCCAGACTGCCAGCTCCCACACACACACACATAGCTTCGCCTGACTGACTCCTAAGCCACCCACCTGGAGGTCCCGCAAACACTGGGGCACTGGGTAGCGGCTGGCTTAGCACTCTGTCCCTAGGATGTGGCCGTCCTGCAGTACCGTGCCCCTCGCCTTGCAGTGGACTGCCTTACACAAGCCCTTTCAGGCCCACCCCACACCGCCCTGATCCTGGACGCGGCCTGTGGCACTGGCCTGGTGGCTGCCGAGGTGAGGCCTCTCTAGATCCCCTGCCCTCTCTTCGGTCCCTCACTGGCTCAAATTTCCTGCCACTCCTGGCCCTAGAAATCTGCCTCTCCCCTCAGACTCACTAGTTCCAAATACTTGGGGTATATCCACTGCAGGGCCCACTGCCCTCCCTGAGGTGCAAGGACCCAGCTGGGAGGTGGCAGATGTGAACCGTGACAGTGTCCTCCACCCCAGCTGCAGGCTCAGGGCTTCCTCCAGCTACATGGGGTGGATGGGAGCCCAGGGATGCTGGAACAGACCCAGGCCCATGGCCTCTACCAGCGCCTCAGCCTTTGCACCCTGGGCCAGGAGCCTCTACCCAGCCCCAAAGGTACTTCCCCTCCCACCCCGACACCCCAAGGCCAACCCTCTAACCAAGTGCACCTTGACAGAGCCTCTTTGTCTTGCCAAGTCTCCATCCCCCTTGCTAATCCCTCCACAAGCCCCCTCCCACACTGAGCCCCCATTCCCTTCTGAGCACCCCAATGCCTCTGTGAGCCCTCTATCCCACGATCTGACCTCAGTCCAGGACTAGGTCAGACCTGCCACATCCCCCACGGAATCTGGATGCTGCAGACACTAGCGGCTGGCCTGGTCCCTCCCCAGGGCCCACCATGGACGCTGTCCTCCAGGGTGGTCTGAGGCCACACTGGAGACAAACTACCACACCACATCCACACACCCCACGCAGGGACCTTTGATGTGGTGCTAAAGGTAGGTGCCCTCAGTGATGGCCAAGTGCCTTGCAGTGCGATACCTGAGCTCCTCTGAGTTACCAAGTCAGGTGAGAAGCAGCCCGTCCAACCCCACACACATCTTCCCTTCTCCACACCCACAGACACAAGCCTCAGAACCCCTGAGGCCAAGCAAGGGACAGGGTCCTGCCCAGGGTCCCATAGCCTAGCCTAGCATCCCAGCCACCAGCTGCTGACCCAGGCAAACAGGCAGGGCAGACAGGTGGCCCCTTGCCTGTTATCTGTTAAGCAATCTGAAGCAACTCCACTCTCTGCCCTCTGTTCCACACCTGTAAGCAGAATGACATAGTCCCTTCTGAATAGGATTGCAGTGAGAATTGGGTGAAATAATGTCTCTAAGTTCTCTAATGTCTATTAGTCCTGGCACATAGTAGGGGCTCAGTTCAGTTGCCCTATCCTCTATCTTCCTCACAAATTCATGGATGGCTATTAGGTGAGTCTCTTTCTTTTTCCTGGTCTTGGTTGTCTCATCTGTGAAATGGGATTGATTATTGAACTCCTACTGTGTGCCTTGCCTGTCCCTGCCTCTGCTCTGGGGAGAAAGTACACACTCTGCTTGCTGGGCTCTCGATGACCAGCCCACCACATCCCAGGAAGGGACCAGATGAAAAAGACTGGCCCGAGATGGGCCGACAAGGGCTGCGAGTGCTCAATGCTCCAATATTTCAGAGAAGAGAGTCATTTCCCAGGGCTGGGATGGGCAGTGAGGGCAGTGCACACAGGGTCACAGCCTCAGTGGAGTCACAGGCAGAAAGGAGAGTGGTGGAGCTTCTCCCTTTCCCCCTCACCCCCACTGGGCCCAGCAGGGGCCTGCTACACTTCATCTGTAAAATGGGGCTACTGTGCCAACCCTGCCCCTCAGGAGGGCTCTGCCTATTAAATGAGTCCCAGAAGAGGTGACACGGCTTTGGCTCTGCAGTTCTCTCACCTCAGGAAAGATTGACAT